GTTATAGAGGATATATCGGTGCCAGCCTCCTCAAATGAATTTAGTAGTCGAGGCAAAGTATTCCTAAGCATTTGGTCACCATAATTTGTCCGAGAACGAGGAACTATCCATGGTTCTGGAGTTCGTGTTTTATGCGAAGGTTGCCTTTTTTCTAAGTTTCCTATTTCTAAGAGTGTAGAGGTATTTTTCCTAATGCTATAATAAAAATCTCGCATAAGCCTCCTTCGGTATATGTCATGAACTTTTGGAATGTTATATTTCTTGAAAAGGTAGTCAGTATGTTCGGTGTATGAGACATTGGCAATAACGCGTATCATTCTCTTTTGCATTAAGTGTAATTTATGGAGGTTAGATTCTGTTGTTGTGCCCCATACAAGATGGCAATAGTTAATATGAGATACAAATAGCGTATTGTAGATTAATAATTTAACTGATTCCGGAAGAATATACCTATTTCGATTCAGTATACCAGCTATTTGACTAAGTTTGACTAGTACAAAGTTAACATGCTCGTCCCATTGCATGTTACTGGAGAAGTACGTGCCAAGCACTTTTATAGTGTCCAAAACTTCGATGTTTGTGTGATTAAACGCTATGTTATGATGCAATGGGATAGGCGTTCCTCTTGTATAGAAGAAAACGGCTTTAGTTTTATTAGAATTAACTTTTAGACGGTTCTGTTTTGACCAAGAGCTTAATTTACGTAGAACATCATTTGCCATATTGGTTATCTCGGCGTAGGAGCTGGACGATAGAAATATGCTAGTATCGTCCGCATAGATTATAAACTTCGCCTGTTGACATATATGTACAATATCATTGACGTATAAGTTAAAAAGCAACGGGCCAAGAATGCTACCCTGAGGCACACCAGAGATTATTTCTTTGCTTTTAGACGTTAAGCCATTCAGAAAAACGAATTGTCGCCTTCTGCCGAGATAGGATTTTATGAACTCAAGTGGTAGACCCCTTATGCCATACCGCTCAAGCTTTTTAACTAGAATATTGTGATCGATATGATCAAAGGCCTGGGTAAAATCAACAAAAATGCCCAAAGTCAGAAGCTTCTGCTCGAAGTTTTGTAAAATATATTCTTTTTGCTCAAGAAGAGCCAGCTCCACAGACTTATTTTTTTGGAATCCATACTGAGCTTTAGTTATTAGCTGATATTTTGCACAAAATGACGATATTTGATTTAAAATAACTTTTTCTAAGCATTTCGAGAAAATTGGAAGGATAGAAATTGGGCGATAGTTCTTTATGTCTAACCTATCACCTTTTTTATATAGTGCTGTAACTTTGGCAACTTTCATTTTGTCTGGAAAGGTTCCTGTGGAAATACATAAGTTGTATATATGAACCAAGACATGGACGATTTCATTAATTACGTACTTGACAGGTCTTATCTGAATACCGTCAGCATCACGGCTGCAAGAGTTCTTGAGTCCAAGAAAGGTTGAACATACCTCTACACTGTCGGTTGCATGTAAAAAAATACTGCTTTCGTTTCCGGACAGGGAGTAACTACAAGACTCATTTGAACACAGTTCAGGTTCTCTGTGGGCAACGCTGCACAAAGTCGTAGCGCGGTAGGTTAAGAAACCGAATTTTGCGGTCGATTTAAAGAGCCTGCCGTCTCCTTGTTTCACCCTGTACAATGTCAACCCCAACAACTACAACATCATCAATGGACGTCGTTTACAGCTATCGCTGTAAAAAAAAGACGTTTACGATTCCTTGTAATGCCGAATTAGAGCGCAGCTCTTTAGGAGGAGGAGGGGATGACATGGAGAGGAGGGTATGCCCCTCCTCCTCCACCGTCCCCTCTCCTCCTCCCTTCCTCATATCCTCCTTCCTTACGCCTCTCTCTCCCCTTCTCCATCCTCCTCCCTCTTCCTCCTCTCATTCTCCTCCCTTCCTCCACCTCCTTCCTCACTCCCCGTCCGTACCTCCTCCCTCGTGACGTCACTCGTGACCCTCTGGACGTCACTCATTACCCCTGTGACTCCCAAGAGGTCACTCGTGAAGGCCTCGCGAAGGTCGTGACCTTCGTCGTGATCTTCACAAGTGACCAATGAGCATGACTGTATCTAAAGGAATCATTACATCAGTCTGAACTTCTGTGTTCAAGAACCCAATACCGTCCGTGGTGATAGGAGCAGGCCGTCCCAACACTCTAGAAAGACGTGCTCAATCGCTTCCGGTTTTTGGCACAGAGAGCAATGAACTCCCCAAGCAACAAAGATCCTTTTATCTTTTAGCACCGTGTTTTTTTAGCCACGTCTTAGCAGGAAGAGTATCAGTATGGAGTTTAAAGAAAAAGGTTTTTACTGTCGGCGGAACGTGCATTTTCTTGACATGCCTAAGGACGTCAGCCTCATGGCGTTCCCAGCAGCTTATAAAATACAAAGGTACAGGAAAAAGAACATCATATAAGTCACCCGACAGACGCTTCCGCGCGACGCTGTGCCGCTTCTCCGGTTTCGATCGTTACACTACTCCCTTTAAACCACTGTAGTTCGGCTTTGGCTAGCAGACGGTGTTCGTAAAATGGCGTCAGCTCTTGCTGGCTTCACGCGGCGGTACCGTGCGCGCTTCCATTCATTCGGCGTTCGTTGCCATGGTGACGGCGAGGAAAGCAGGCGAACTTTATGTTGCGGAAAACGCTGGGCGCAGCAGTACCAGGTGCGTTTTAATCCCTTCGCGTATGCTTTTCAATGGGCGGAAGGCCAACAAAAAGGGTTCGAAATAAGGACTTAACCCAGAAGGTTGCATCCCTCCAGCGCCTCATAATTAGACAAGCCTTACACGAAAAACGCGTTTTTTTTTTTTTTTGCCATCCCGCGTCCTGTTTGTTTTTCCGTAACATGGGTCTAAAGTATCAAACTGCCATTTTCTCTACTAAGCGCTCTTTTGGTTGGTGGTTCTTCGAGGAGATATTTTCCAGCACGCGCTTGGACTACCACCCCTTTATATTTCTCAATATTTATTGCGGATAAACTTTTTTTAGTAGTTGTAATATCGTTCATATATATATACTGGGATATTTGGAATGTAACTTATGGTGAATTCCACTGGGCTTTTTGGAGCGCACCGGGATCAGGTTACCAGATCCGGAATGGAGCACACGATCCGAACGGAGTCGCGCCGCCTACGGATCCCCGGTTGAACATGACCACTGCTCCGGGATCGGCGGATGCCTTCCCGTCATTCACCTGCCCGGGAATCCCCTTTCCGCGGCCGCCGCGGTCGTTTCGAAGAGGTTTTCGCAATCACGGCGCTAATACGTGTTCGACGCACGAGCGGCAGGAATGGCTCAGGAGCTTCTAGCAAAGATTGCCGGAATGCCCGCAGCGCGGCAAAACCTTTTCTTCTCCTTCCTAGAAAACGAACCGGCTGTCGAGCCAAGGGGTAAGCAAGCGGCCATTACGAATTCTTCTGAGGCGAGATGGGCGAGATCAGGCGAGGTGCCCCGCGAGAAAGGAAGTCACGTGTGTGCGCCGAGGGCAGGCCCGGCTGGCTTCCGGTTGAATCCGCCGAAATCGTCGGAGCGACTTTTCTTGGATCCAGATCGAGATCTGAAGCGGGAGCTAATCCAAAACGACCTGTGGAACACGTCCGTCTCGATCCCGATCGCCCATGAAATAGGCTCACTCCAGAAAAGTCGATCCCGGCGCGCTCCAAAACGACCAGAGGAATTCGCCATTAAAGAGTCTCGTTATTTCCGCGCGAAGTAGGCCTTCTTCTTTATCCCCTAATATTTTAGAGCGTGAGATCTTTCTTGTGCTGCTAGCTTTATTTCCCACTTTGCTACCTCCCATGCCTCAGCTGAGCTAAAAAAAAAAAAGCGAAAGCCGTTTACAACTCCCTGTAACACCGAATTGGAGCGCAGCTCTTGAGGAGGAGGAGGGAAGGGTACTGAGGGTTACCTGTTCTCGGGGCGGGGGGGGGGGGGGGGGGGGGGGGAGGGGGTCATGCGACCTTGGGGGGTCACGGGACCCCCCAGAAAAATTTTTCCGCTAGATTTAGCGGGGAAATTTTTCCGCTAGATTTAGCGGGGAATATTTTCCGCTAGGTTTAGCGGGGAAATTTTTCCGCTAGATTTAGCGGGGAATTTTTCCCGCTAGATTTAGCGGGGAAATTTTTCCGCTAGATTTAGCGGGTAATTTTTTCCGCTAGATTTAGCGGGGAATTTTTTCCGCTAAATCTAGCGGGGAAATCTTTTACGCTAGATTTAGCGGAGAAATTTTTCCGCTAAATCTAGCGGGGAAATGTTTCCGCTAGATTTAGCGGGGAAATTTACCCATAATGTACCGCGCGGTTACGCCGACGGCGACGCCGA